AGAGGGCAGTCAGGGGACAAGAAGCAGGGCGGCTTAGGATGGGGGTGGGGGTCCTAGGGGGGCAGTTAGTGGCAGGGGTCCCAGGAGGGGGTAGTCAGGGGACAAGGAGCGGGGGGGTTGGGGGTTCTGAGGGGGGCAATCAGGGGGTGGGAAGTGGGAGGGAGTGGATGGGGGCAGGGCAGGGGCGGGGCTAGAGCGGGGCTTCTCCTCCCCAGTGTCCTCTTTTTTGCTTGTGGAAATATGGTAACCCTACTTGCAGGAAGAGCAGCCCCTTGCAGCTAGCTGGTGGGGGCTTGGAACCAGGGTGGACCGGCAGCCCCTCTATCCACTTCCGGCTCCCCTAAGTTCCCTGTGCTGCAGCCACCCAGCAGGCTATCGATCGGCAGTTCAGCTGTCCCTCTCCCCACTGCCATGTGCTGCTCCTGCCCTCTGCCTTGGAGCTGCTCCCAGAGACTCCTGCTTCCTGTGCGGGGGTAGGGGGTCTAATGTCAGGGTGTCCCCCTCCCCCCCTGCTCCTGCACCCCACTTATCCCTTCTCCATATAGAGCAGGGAGGGGACACGGACAGAGAGAGACAGAGAGAGCTTGGGGCAGCAGCTGCTGTCTCACTTCCTGATCCACTTAAAAAGACAATGCACTTAAGAGTGGGTCAGCTTACTTAACGGGGCAGTGTGCATCTCTCTCTCTCTCTCCCACACACAAGGTGTGTGTCTGTCTCTGTCTGCTATGCTGTCTCCCCTCCCTCCTGTTCGTGCTGCCTTGTGTGAGAGGCTACATTAACAACAATGTGTTAACCCTTGAGGGCTCAGCCGAGTGCTAGTTCATCATTTAGCAGTAAGGCATTCCCTGGGAAATATCCCACCCTCTTCTACCCTCTGACTTCACCACTTCAACCAAGCTTCACAATCATCATTCCTGTGAACAGTATTCAATTGTTTGTTTAAAACATATACTGTGTGTATATCTATATCATATATAGTTTTTTGTCTGGTGAAAAAAATTTCCCTGGAACCTAACCCCCCCATTTACATTAATTCTTATGGGGAAATTGGATTAGTTTAACATCATTTCGCTTAAAGCCGCATTTTTCAGGAACATAACGACAATGTTAAGGAGGAGTTACTGTAATGGACTCAATATCCTGACTCCCACTGCCAGCCCAGCGGTACCTGGCACGCAGCTCACTGCCACCTCGGGCACTATGTCCGTGTGGCCTCGCCCAGACCAGCCAAATGATGCGTTTCATCTAATCCCCTCATGCAGCTCTCCTGGTGATGCTCGTACCTTCCCCAGTGCACTAGCTGGTCTCTAGACTGTTGCAAAACCTTACAAGGTTCCTGCCCAAAGCAGCCTTGATCTGTGGTTTAAATTGCACAAGAACATTCTTTCAAAGTGCATTTTAGATTTCAATAAGCTGATTAGATCAAAGGCGAGCGAACATTTTTAGAGCCTTAAGGTTTATACCTACTGTAAGTCAAATGTCTTCTCGATGGAACTTTAGGCATATTTTCCCTGTTGTAATGAAGTGTCTGTTGAAATATATTTTAGACTGCGGATTTAAAGCCTATAGTTCGCCACTTCTGTTCATTCCGAGATATTCCAATAGCTTTTTTTTTTTCCCCCCTGACAGTGAATGTCCTTCGTCACTGATTTAGGACAATGGTGCCCTGCAGAATGCAGGTGATAGATATGCTTTGAGCTTCCTGTGTAATGTACATTGGGATTGGAAATAGGACACGTTCTCCTTTAGCAGAACATATTGTAATGATGTTTGTTCACATTTTCAAGTGTGCGTTCAGGTGTGCAGAGATGTTGGAAGATACTGTGCGATAGTTTAGACTTTATTACCTTGTCACGTTAATAAACAGTGTAATATTCCTCTGAACTACACCACCCTTTCCCCGAGTTTATTAATGAAACGTGCCTGTAGGCCAGTTAGCCACTGGTGGGCGGGGGGCATCTTCCCACCCCCCCAGGAAATCAGCTCCGTGTTATTCAGTGGAACTCATCCTGTAGGACAGCTGGGAAGTTAAGGTCCCAAGGCTGCAAAGGAGAATTTTGTACTGAACTGAAACATCAGGTGGGATTTAGAGTAACCCAGGGCCAAATTCTGCTCTCAGAGTGTATTATCCACACTAAAAGAACAGGAGTACTTGTGGCACCTTAGAGACTAACACATTTATTAGAGCATAAGTTTTCATGGGGTACAGCTCACTTCTTCAGATGTGGCCCACGAAAGCTTATGCTCTAATAAATGTGTTAGTCTCTAAGGTGCCACAAGTACTCCTGTTGTTCTTCTTTTTGCGGATACAGACTAACACGGCTGCTACTCTGAAACCTGTCCTTATCCACACTGTAATTTGGCTAGAGCATCAGGACTAATACTCCTAACACTTCCTCTCCTGAGAAGGTACCAGGGGACCACTGCTGGGGGCCAGAGCTCTGGTTTTACACCAGTGCTGCTTCCATCTAGAGTTGGCTGCAAAATGACATTGGGGCCACGACAGGCACAGCGACCCCTAGCACCGCGCTGGCGCATTGGCTCAGTGGTGACGCCAAGGACAAGCACGCCCTGCCCAATGCCCAGGGCTACTTCCTGCCCAACAGGGGGGCTCTTCCATCCCCCACGGACCCAGCTGACCGAGCCAACTCCCCTGGACCTGCGGAGCCCCTGCCTTTCCCACAGCGCGGGGGCAAGGGAGCAAAGGGCCGAGGCAGGTGGCAGCTCTGCTGTTGCAATACCCACTGGGACGCTGCCCATCACAGCAGCCTGGGCCAGGCCCACCGGCCTGAAGGCCTAATCCAAAGCCAAGCCAAGTCGATGGGAGTCTTTCCCCTGACTTCCCCGGCACTTGGCTCAGGCCTGCAGCCCGAAGGGAAGGGGGTGGAGGCATCGCCTTCCTAAAGCGCCGGGTGAGAATCATAGAATCATAGAATCTCAGGGGTGGAAGGGACCTCAGGAGGTATCTAGTCCAACCCCCTGCTCAAAGCAGGACCAATTCCCACCTAAATCATCCCAGGGCTCTGGCCTGTCTCATCAGCTCATTTCCTTGCCCGTCTATTAGTGTTCACACCGAGCAGATGGTTCCTTTAGCCCGAAGACAGCCATGGACCACCTGGGCCAGTTACCAACTCTCACCCGTTCCCATCCCAGGGCACAGCCACTCCACCGGGGTCTCGGGAATTCCCAACAGGACTCTGCTGTTTGCTTAAATGTTCTCACTTGCCTTCTGCCCCCACCCCACCCCCTCGCAGTGAAGGGGGGGCACCATTTCCACGCGGGAGGAAGTCATCCAGGCCATGCGAGGCCCATTCACTCCTCTGGCAGATCACATTTGCTCCAGTGCCCTGGCATCGCCTGGCTGCAAAGGGCAGCAGGCCCACAGGACAAACAGCAAGGTGTGCCAGCATCCCCCGCCCTGCCCCGCTGCAGCTGCCAGTTGCCAGTTGCAGCCCAGCCTCTGGGAGAATGGAGCCGGGGAGGCTCCCTTTCAGTGTCAGGGTACTCACTGGTGCCTGTCCTTTGCCCCATGGGGCAGGAGCAATTCCAGGCGGAGGGGGAGAGTTTTCCGCACCGGTGGGGGCCTGGGGCCCCTTGGGGCTGGCGCCGGTGCCAGGCCTGGAGCGGTGCCCGGCCCGGATCCGGCCCTGCTGGGAAGTGGAGGATTCCGCAGAAGCTACCAGGGAAATTCCCACGGGATTTTCCCCCGGGGAGTGACCCGACCCCGCCGCCTCTAGAGGGTGTATTTCGGGGGGGCAGTTGGGGTGACTGGCTCGGATGGGTTCCCTGGGTTTCTCTCTCCCACAGTCCGTCACTCCGGGGCAGCCCCCCCGCGCAGCCCCTGCCAGGACCCCCGCCCCGGCCGGGCCCCCCGCGCACCCCCCTGGGCGGCCGCTGGGCGCCGCTGTGCCCCCCCTGCCCCCCCCCCGGGGGAGGGCGCACGGCTG